CTAATTATGAAATCAAAAAGTTAACATCTGAACAACAATTTCCAACCGGTTGACTTATTGCCGTCGGAAGCTGTGAATTATTGGAATTGAATGGAACATAACCACAGAGGCTAATTATTAATGTATTCTAAAAGTAAACATTCTACATTTTATATCGCACTCTGATTTACTTATAACGGATATAAACCTCCTGTATCTGTGTATCTAAATCATTGTTGTTTTTTAAAGGTCGTCCTTCTAATGGTTATTTCTAAAGCTACGATTCAGAAACCATTTATGAAATTAGGTACCTAACATTTTAAAGCAAATTATCAATTTTTCAGTTACCTGGTTGGGAGAAACTTTTACCGGACAACTCTATTGAGCTCGATCTAGCAATGCAAAGACTCGGTAAAATTAGCAAGGTAAATTAAAAAAACAACAAATAATCTTTATACTATGGTTAATGGTTTATCGTCATTTTGAAGACTGTCGTGTACTAGCACATTTTCACTATCAACATAATCTTTTTAGCCCGTGAATTAGTGTATCTGTTGCAATGCAATTTTTCGGCCCGCTCTCTGTTTTTTCTGTCTGTCTGTCTGTCTCTTTTCGATATCTGGAACCCCATTTTGTTTTCTTTTAACCTTCGCATCGTAATTTTTCCGACATAGAATTTTGGCTTGATTTGGAAACAACCGCCCCATCATGCGCCCTAGACACATACAAGCACTCATATGACTTTTCCTGGGTTTCTCAATTCCATCTGTGATATATTTCGACCATGACTTTCTTCCCCCCCCCCCCCTCCACCTTTTTGGTTTGTTTAATCTTAATGCAAGCAATGTACGGCATTAGACACCAAATACTTTACTTCATAAGATCGGTTTCAGCTTAGCGACGCACTATATTTGATGGACTTTGAAAGCGAACTTAAGTGACGTCACGGATGAGATTATTTGATTTTTTTTTTATTCAGTTGGCATTAGAACTTCGTGTTGACAACATCAATTATCGACAGAGACTCGACTGTGGCCCATTTTGTATTAAACTTTGAAGCCTAGACTCAGTCCTTTCTACTTGTTCTTTCTGCTTTGCCTAGACACTACTGGCACTAGTCGCAATACGCCCATACAACACAGTCAAACTCCTGAGTAATTCTTGAAGTCAGACACATCACTACAGCAGCGAATCAGCCATTACAATCGTCACCCATTAGCGTTAATAAGAGGTTTTGAGACAGATTGAAGAACAAACAGTTGGACACTAGAGAAAGAACATAAACCAAATAAATTTTACTCAAATTAAGATTCTGGTAATCATTTACAATATTTTTACCAAAAAATTATACATCTATTTTGTCTAGGAGATTCAGAAGTTTGACGTGATGGCGCTGATTGACGCTGAGTACACGTATATCAACCCAGCCTTACGAATGTTATCTTTAGCTTTAATGAAAGAATGCAATAGAAGCTCTGCCAAGGTTTTATACACATACCAAGCTTATCTAAAGGTACATCTTAAAACATTAACCTTCTTTTCTGCTTCTTCGCTAGTGCCATTACAACATGGGGCAGGTTGTATAAATCAGTCAGGAAAACACTCGATTTATCAGAGTTGGACGTAATTATCTTTATTTTGAAAAAGCGTCTGTGATTTATAAGATAATATAATAAACAACCTCCTTGTATTCACGGTTATAAGATAATATAATAAACAACCTCCTTGTATTCACGGTTATAAGATAAAATAATAAACAACCTCCTTGTATTCACGGTTTAAGTAATTCTCAAGTATTTCATGTTAACCTGATGTGTTTTTGTTTAGTGTTTGTTTTTCGTTTTGCAGAGAACACATTCTACTCTAAAAAGTGATTTGGAATTCGCTAAAAAATCTGAGTTTTGTTTTGGTCTCAAGCTTGTTAGGGGAGCTTACATGGTAAGAGAGAGAATGCTCGCCAAGACCCACAACTACGAGGATCCAGTTCATGAGTCATTTGACAAGACGTCTGCCAGTTACAACGCTTGCCTTGACTTACTGTTCGACAAAATCAAAGACAGGTCGTCAAAGCCACTTAGATTAATTATCGCCTCACATAATGAGGATACTATTTGTTACGCTTTAAACAGGTAGGTATGTAGTTAGACCTAGTAATACATGAATATAGATGTTTACTGTATATGTATACTGGAGAGACAAATCTATATAATAAAGGGGGTACATGGTGTAGTATGTAGTTAGATCTAGTTATACACGAATATAGATTTTTAACTGCACACATGTACAGAAGAGATAATTCTATGGACAGAGAGTACCACATTGTATCTATATGTCTAAATCGATCACTTATATTTCAGCATAAAGAAATTGGGCATTGATCGTTCTTCTGTGTATTTTGGACAATTGTATGGCATGGCAGATCACGTGTCTTGCATTCTTGGTAGGTAAATAAATATAGTAGAACACATACTCAATAACTGCAGGGTGCTCATAACGTTTTCGAAGATACGACTAGTCCTGAAACCGATAGAACTGGTACATGCGGGGCATTGCGGGGGTTTCTGGTCATGTACGGAGACAAGCACACTACAGAAAACTGCCAGATACCTGGACGTGCTATAAGGGATAAATCTCAGCACGGGGCCTTAGTGCATGGAGGCTTACAAATGGTAAGTATCCTTAAGTTGCGTTGGTCCGACTACATACCAGACACAGAAATCTTAAAGCTGTCCAACATGAACACTCGAATAAATCAATGTGACAGTAAAAAGGTCCCAACTTCGATGGGCGGGACATGTAGTCCGCATGCCAGACAATTACCTTCCCAAACGACTTCTGTACAGGGAGTTGTGTGCAGGAAAGCGCTCCCAGGGAGGCCAATACAAGAGCTATAAAGACATTCTTAAGAGCTCCTTCAATGAATGCGATATCGACTTTCACAGCTGGTAAGCACCAGCTCTCGATCGCTTCTCATTGCGTGAAGCTGTGAGTCTCTGAGTCTCAAGATTTGAAGCAAGAAGAATAGCCAGGGTGAAAGAGTGCCGAACCAACAAAAAGCCGAGAGAAGAAGCAGGCCTTTCTGCAACTGACCAAACCCACCCATGCTTTTTAAAGCGAGGATTGGACTTTACAGTCATCTTCAAGAAATGAGAAATGTGCTAATCTCTTCGATCGCGAAGGAGGAGCTCTAGACAAATGGTATATCAATAAACGAAGTTATACTTTCTGTACATCGTGTCCAGTATTTTTAAAACCATTTAAGAGTTGAAAGAGCTGTCAATATATTGAAGCAGACGACTGTCCAAGGAAGTGTCTCTGTGCTCGAGGAATGAGGAAGAATGCAGTAATTCGTGTAGATTATTTAGACCCAATTGTAATATATATATTTGTTACATCTACCGGAAATGAATCCGTTGTCTGTCGGAAGTCGCATTAACATCCCTACCTGTTGTATAGGTCTGTCTTTCAATTGAGTAAATGGAAAGAGCATCTGCAAGATCTATATCATCATCTTTGTCTCTTTAAAAAACAACAACACCTTAACTCTTGGTTACATCAGATACACGATACACGCACATACATTTCTAACAAGTATGTTTTTAAATTAAATTTTTTTTTCCAATGTTATTTACCCATACAGCCCACAATGGATATCACGTGTACAAATCAATTCCTTACGGGACAATAGCAGACACATTACCATATTTGGCAAGAAGAGCCCAAGAGAACACAGCCATGTTAGCCAATGCTAGGAGAGAAAGACAGCTGGTTGCCAAGGCGATACAGTCAAGACTTTTAATGTCTTAAGCTATTTGCTTATTCTTTTAGAGACTGATTTAAAAAAAAAATAAATAAATGACCAAAAAATGAATTAAAGAAAGCTACAGAACAAATGCAAAATAATACTTTAACACTATACCACTAAGGTGTATTATTTTATATATAATTTATATTCTATTCTTTGTGTTTCACAAATGAAGTTCGTGAAGTTGAAAACCTCTTTTACGTAGTGATATTTGTTTTTATTGACTTTGATACGCGTATCTCTGACGGGGTGCATAACATGAGGAGACAGATCGTGATATTTTGATACAATCAGAAAAATAAAATGTCTTAATAAATGGGTATTTTAAATTGGGGGTTAACCGCTTTTGTGGTTTACGCCTTGAATCGTCAGGGCCGACCTTACGAATTGAGGGGCCCAATTTGATGGATGCTTGCGAGGTCCCTCTTCTAATTTTTTTACAATAACAACTATTACTCTTTAATTAGATCATTATATCAACATGTGTTATACAACATGCCTAGGAAGCAACTCAAATAGGCGCCAGTGAGTTAATTAAAGTTACGACAATCGTACGATACACTAAATATGTTAACCCTTTAAGTCCTACATCTTTAAAAGCCTGTGACAAGAGCCATGACTATTAGTGATTTGCTAAATGTAAATTTCGAAGCCCCTGCCAGGCGCGGGGCCCCATTGGAGCAATCGGCATAAAGCCGGCCCTGCTACTACTGCAGCCACACTGAGTAGTTGGATATATGCTAGTCACCCTTCAATAATACACGTTCTTCACTTAAGAAACAAAAATTTGAGCCAAAAGTTTGTTTTGTTTTGATTCTAAGTTTCTACTTTGTGGGGATATAACACTTGAACACCAGGTTATCAGATTTCATCAACAGATGATGAAAGTTATAGGCCTTTATCCATCTCACTAGTCCTTAAATCTAGATCTATAAATTAATTACTAAGGTTGGTAATTTTTTTTTAGTTAGCACGAAGTCTACAGTCCTATTAGTCTCTGCTTGCTATATAAGTAAAGAAGAGAACTCAACGTTTTAACACTGGACCTCTGCTGCATTGACCACCAGAGCGTAAAGGCTTTTTCACAGCGCAACTAGAAAAGAGTTTTTTTAAAATGTACGCAGATACTGAGATATATCAGCTAAATATCTTCTTAGTAATAGGTAAATAATGTTGAAAGATGGCCGTCGTAGCAGAGTAGACATAGCAGCGCTAAGCGATTAACAGTGAAGGCATGAGCTAGATTTGGGTTGCACAATCTCCGAGCTTCTTTACATTAAGGTCTTGCAGTTGATCATTCTCTTTCTTGCATTACTGCACGATTCATTTCGATTATATTTTCCCTAGAACCGCAAATACAGATACATTGAGTTCCTTGCTACACCATGGCGTCTACAAGCTATGAATACTAGTTTTAATGAGGATTTTTTTTTGGTGAATTAATTTTAAATGTATTTATTGTAATAAATATTTAATTAAAGTTAATTTTTGTTGTTGTTTATAACGTGTGTAGTTTAAAGTAATTTGTTACTTACATGCGTATGAATTAACTACCATAACTAATGGCACCTACTGAGACATTGAAGGATTAGTGACTATTAATTTTAAGAAGACGCACACTCATAAATTGTAGTTGTTGTGTTACTTATAAATTGTAGTTATTCTATTTCTTATAAATTGTAGTTGTTGTGCTACCTATAAATCGTAGTTGTTGTGTTACTTGTAAGTAGTCGTAACTGAAGTCTAATGACACAATATACTTGTAAAAGGTGGTCGATAAATTGAGATGTTTTTTGTTTTGTTAGGGGAATAGACGCTATTAGTTTTGTGAGGTTTGTCCGTCCGTCCGTCCCGTTTAGATCTCAGAAACTATAAGAGAAAATGAAAATCGGACATCATGATATTTTAAATCATTCAAAGTTCTGATGCAACGGCTACGTTTTCTTTTCCGAAAGTGAACCATCTAATTTTAAAAATTCTATATGCAAGCAAATTTTTAAAAAAATCTCTACTTTTAACTGAAAAACTTCAGGGGAGGTAATTTTTTTTTAAAAGTCACAGACTTCTTCAATAATAACTCAAGCTTCATTCATAGATTCGCGCCATCGACTTACATATACTACTAGACTGGAAACCGGAAATAAATTCTTATCCGCGACTGATCGATCGTGAACATTTTGTAGAAAGTTGGATCAAGGTGTTGTTTTGTAAAGTAGTTAAAAGAAGTAAAGTTGTTTTTTTTTCAACCCTAACCTATGCAACATATAATTATTTTTAGATCTAGATCTAGTAATTTTTGTAGTGTTAAAAAGTCTCCATGTCCAGTCTAGATATAGTATATATAAGTCGATGATTCGCGCATTGCTGCCAAAAAAAAAAAAAAAATTGCATCTAAGGTCACAATGGAAAAGTGTGAACGAATCATTATAAAATATATTTTCCTTTTTTTAACTAACTCATTGAATGGAATACTGATTGAAATAATGTTTTTAAAAAAAAATTTTGATACGAGCTTCGTTTTAGTTGTAAGTCAAGAAAAAAAAAGAACTACTTTTATAGCGCGCAGTTTTGACAAATCCACATTATACACCTGTGAGTCTTAAATAAGACTAAATAGAGCCAACATCTAGATATATTTATAATATATATATATATATATATATATATTATAAATGTATTAAGAATTTAAACAAAACTTTAATTATTAAGGTAATAACTTATCTTCTGACAGCTTAGGGGTGCAGATTTATTTATTATGTAAACAGTAGTATCACATTAAGAAGTGAATCGGATACGAACAGCATAGTAGGCTTACACCATTTCTCGGTACCAAAAGGCCTACTATTCCTGATCATAACATTGGCTTAGGTCTAGTAATTTTAAGATTAAACGTGTTAAGTAATACGAATTCTAGTCTAGATCTAGATTCTATATCAAGACTACCAAGTGAAAACATGAAGACCTACCAAGTGAAAACATGAAGACCTACGAAGTGAAAACATAAAGACCTACCAAGTGAAAACATGAAGACCTACGAAGAAAAAACATGAAGACCTACCAAGTGAAAACATGAAGACCTACGAAGTGAAAACATGAAGACCTACCAAGTGAAAACATAAAGACCTACGAAGTGAAAACATAAAGACCTACCAAGTGAAAACATAAAAACCTACCAAGTGAAAACATGAAGACCTACGAAGAAAAAACATGAAGACCTACCAAGTGAAAACATAAAGACCTACCAAGTGAAAACATAAAGACCTACCAAGCGAAAACATGAAGACCAACCAAAACGTATTTAGATAACTAAATTTTATTATTAGATCCTGTCCTGAGCCTAAATTGTTAATTAATAGCTCCTAGTCATGCAATTACCACTAGTTTTATTATCATTGTCACATTCGTTGTTTTTGTCTCGGCCATTGTTGGGGCCCATATTCGCTATTTCACTCGACGACATCAAAGGCAAGGAAGCAGAAACGGTCTTGAGGCTTTCTTGGCTTGAGTTCTCATCAAGGTACTGACAGATAAACAAAGGTCTTTAAGGTCCACAGCAGCAAGCTTGGACGCAGACCCAACGTTGTCTTGATCTGTCCGGCCCGTTGCAGGCATACCAGGAACAAAAGTTTCAGGCACATAACAGACTTCTCTAGTTTCTTTATTTGTCTCTTTCCTTTCGAATCGGCACATCCCGTTGAGATCGTCGCAGCAATCGCTGTCATTCCCGTCAGACTTGCCCACAACACAGTCACAGACAGCGCTCCAATCCCCAACGCCTCCATCACCACTGTTTGTGCAGCCACAGTCCTGATAGGTAACTGCTCCTTCCCTAACGAGTTTATTCCTCCTTTTGCTTGCGACTAAATTTTATCACTTGGGTCTATTTGGCCTTCTACTTGCAATACACTTTCATCTACTTTGTTCAACATTATGTTCCTGCTCATGTTCAGTTGATCATCAAAAGCATCCAAAAAGTCCTGGATCTTGCCAATGAACTCAACAATCCCAAGTTCAATTTCAAATGTGTAGGTCTCCGGATCTTCTTCTTCATTGATCAGAGCTTGTCTCAGACGAGCCGTGAGCGTTTCCCTGCTACCGAGGGATTTTAAACCTCGGTTTCGAAGCTCTTGTCTTATCTCTTTAATTGAGAGCTGATGTAATAGCTTTAAATATGTCATTGTAATCAAAACCTACCTCCTCTCGTTGAGTTGCCTAAGATCCGACTTCTGACACCAATTGTAATAACTTAAGTGAACCAACTCAACGAGGCACATATATCTTTATTTACACGACATCACAAGTTCACAAAACATCATCTTTCTTAGGCACAGTCTTTTCACTTCGGCTCTCAACTTGGGCGGAAATCGTTCTCCTCCCTAATGTTGACATCCTTTTAGGTCTAGTCTATCACAGTGAGCACCTTTTAGCACTAGCCTGGATGACAGTGCGCATGGCAGAGTTATAACAGTATTGTTGTAACTTTAGGTTAGGCACTCAACGAAAAGGCATGCAACTCAACACAGTTTAACAGGAAATAATAGTTGTGTTTATTCACTAGGGTAAACCCATAACATCCTTCAGCTTCCTCAGAGTCTTACTACTAAGTATACCAGTCCTTTGCTACTTAACCCGAATGTGGACCAACGACAGCCTTTCCCGCTTCGCTCCAGGTCCCTACTACAACCTTCAGGCAGCACAAAAGGTGGCCTCTTAGTTTCCCAAATATTCAGACTTATCACAATCCCTGATGCACTGTTATTCTCTCTCTTCTAGTGTCTTCCTGTTTACGTTCACTAGTGCGCTAGTACGCACCTCAAGCACTGGTGCAAGGCAGGGTTACAACAGTATTAATAGGGATTTTTTTAAACGGTGTTATATACAATGTATATATCATAATTAACATTTTTTTTTAGTTTAGTATTGCCAAATTAAGCGTATTGTTATAGCCAATATACAGTTCTTCATTATGCTTCAACGTTAGTTAAAGTTTTTTATATATATAAAATAATATGAAAGAAAAAAAAAGACAACCTCTAAGTAAATGGTTTTGTTAATATTTAAATAAGAATGAAGAGCTCTTAAGATAGTTATACAGAGAGCACACATTTGACTAACACTTTGGTGGAAAGTCAGAGGCGGTAAAAGGAATAAGTGGAGCCTGGGGCTTGTTGTCTGGTCTATGGTATGCGCTCTATACTGTCTTTCGATGGTTCCGGGTTCGAACTCTAATCGCTGCAAATTCACTTGCTTTCGCCTATGAGAAAATATGACCTTAGAAGAATAAAAAATTTGGTGAGATCACAACTCAAAAAATAAGGCCTATAAGATTAAACAAATATTTTTAGAGCACGTACAGTATCTTCTCATTAAACGCAGAATATATTCAGGCTGACATATTAATAAAGACAATCTGAGGTCTAAAGCGCGGAGTCTTTTGGAGAGGACTGGTAGGATCCTCCATATTGCCCATCAAAAACGCTGTAGAGAGTTGTTTGATTTTTCAAGTGCATTTTTTGGAGAAACATGTCTTTTATGGTTTAGACACTGGCCTTCCGATGTAATCAACATTATCACTAAGCAAATCATTTGTATCGATCGTAGTAGCAACATGAGACAGTGGCCTATCAAAGCTCTCCACTTCGTCCAGTAAGAACAAAAAAAGTGGCTACTAGTCGTGACGTTTCGGCCATTTTCGAGAAGGCCATCGAGTCCAGTAAGAGTTTTAGGACGAGACAGTACTAATTTAATAATTCGGTTATACAGTTTGATGTTTTGTGTTGCCAATTGTACATATTTAGCTGTTCATTTATTAGGTCATCACATTATTACGCTACTGGAACAACACAATATCAACTAAGTTTATTTCCATGTGTTTTATCTCTAGATGATTACAATTCTGGGGATTACAATCCTTCGGATTACAATCCGGGACTTTTGGAACTCGGTTTGTCAGATTCTGAAGATAGTTGTGTCATATTTTGTAGTGTTAACAGATGGCCAGATAGAAAGTCCTAGCAATATTAAAAAAACATGACAATGACAGTTTTTCTGGTATCCTATACTGAGACGTATTCAAACAATGACTCCCAAAGCAATGACACTTAGTTAGACGTCTTTAATGTGTTATAACCATAACAACAGTTTGGCATAAATTATTAGTAGACACAATCTTGCGCACAAAGAGTTTAAATACAAAATATGTATTGCTATCACAAATCATATTCACTCTTAATTAAAATGCGTACAAATAAATAAATAACACACTTTTAGTCTATAATGGAACAATAAATACACGAACCATTATAGAGCATGGATATCTTACGATCATCTTCTTGGTTGTGAGAAATAATAACAGAATATTGAATGAAATAAACAAAAAATAAATAAATAAAGATCTAAAATTTTTAACGTTTTATACGGGGACAGTGCTTGCCGGCGTCCACCTGG